TGAAATCACCGGTAATTCGTTATTCTTCGGTTTATAGAACCCATGTGTTATTTCTGTGTGTACATTACGATCCAGATCCTTGCTGATATGTACTGATTTAAGTTTGCGACTAAAAATATTTCCTACAGTTTGTGCTTTGATATCGGTTGAATTGTGAATCTTCTTCAGTATATTTTGTTCTTCGACGGCGAATTGTTCTTGCACATGTTTGGGCAGATCTGGACTCACTTGCTCGAGATATTGCTGCCATTGCAATAATTTATTATCTGCTGCGCGTAATTGTTCGATACTTTTCTCATGTCCGGGATTAAGACCAATAGGCTGAACACCAGCGAATTCGTTGAGATCCACCTTAATTGGTGCCAGTGCCGAGATGGCGCGCGATAAGCCAATCTGGGAGTGGCGTATACGATGTTCCATCAAATCTGCGCCTAGCAACTCTTCATTGGGATCCATGCGAAGTGGTACAAATTTGTTGACAATATAGAGTAGTAGAAATGTTGAACAGATGCCCCAGCAGGCAAGACATAGGGCCGATAAGCTCTGTATGCCTACTAAATACCATCCGCCGCCCTTGAACAGGCCTGAACGCCCTTTTGTTGTTTCGAGAGGAACAGGATTGTCGGCAAATAATCCAACAGCAATGACTCCCCAAATTCCACAAACACCATGAACAGAGCTCGCACCTACCGGGTCGTCCACGCCTAGTCGATCGAACAATGGCATTGCGACAACACAAAGTAGTGCGCCTAGCATTCCGATAATTAACGCTTCCCAAGCACGATACAAAAAACAGCCAGCCGTTATGGAAACCAAGGAGCCAAGCACGCCGTTAATCAGATCAATGATGTCCATGCGACCATCGTGACGCCAAAGTGAGTATCTGTAAATAGAGAATGCAAAGTTAATTGTTTGCAAGCATAGCGAATAAAATAAAGTTAAGTAGATTTACGCGCAACTTATGATGCCACCACCGAATGAGCCCATCATAGTCATAACAGCGGCACGTGCGGCATATTGCCATTTGGCACCACTCACTCCATAAGTACTACCCGAATTGAAGGCCAACCATCCCCACCACAGTACAAACAGGCCCATACATGCATTCACGGGATTGCCGAGCGGGAGAGGATCATAGCCGTCTGAATAGCGCCCCAGACGTGGACCCAACATAGCCGCAGAAGCAAAGGCGGCGGCACCACCTGAAAACAATATACAATAAAAAAGTTAGTACTCCACATCCGGAAAGCTTGGTATCTTCTGATGCAGAGGAAAAGGATGCCGCTCACAGTGGACGCTGAGATCAGGCGCAACGCAATTTACATATGTCCGAGATTGACATAGGGAGCTGAAGAGGGAAACGAGACGTATCTCATAATAAAAAGAGTGATACTGAAATGCTGGCCGACAGAAAACTAGTACCTTGTTTATACCGACACATAAAGCGCT